ATTATCAAATACATCAATAACCAGGGCCTAACCATCTGCAATTTTGGCAAATGCCAGAGAGGCGGATGCATCCGGGGCCTGTTAACACGGAGTTGGAATTTATACAAGAAACGCATAAGTTAAAAAATCCATTAGAAATGCCTTTTATATAAAAACTTTAAGCGTAATATTAACAAAATATATTAAATACTTATTCGTTAGTATATTTTCCCCCTTTAATTGAACAAAGTTGTTTTTAAAGGTTTATTTTAATACGATGCCAGGGCAGAATATTGTTTCCAGTCCGACGAACACTTTATGGTATCTTCTATTGTTCTTGATATATAAATGGCTCAAATTTCATTATCCACAAAGAAATTATTTTTAAGAGCATTTTAAACATACAGGCTTTAAATAAAGATCAAGAACACCTTAGTATTTTTAAATGCAGTAGTGCATCTTCTTGTAATGCATATATTAATGTATTCTGTAATTATGAAATACTAAATTAATATTCAAATATTCAATATTTTACAGATAAAGAAAAATTAAGTTTAATTGTATCCATCAAAATATGACATTTAGGAAAAAATTTTCTCGCTTCTTAAATTCAAATTTCTTAATAAATTATAGAACTTTTGAATTAACTGCTTATAAATATAGATAATTATATATATAATTTACTTATTCGAATACTAAACTCAAAATACTAACAATTTGAATTATTTTTACTGTATAAAAGGGAATGGAAGTGTATAGAAATTGTATTATTAACGTTATTAAAATTCAGTATTTAATGAAAGTAAAATGGTTAAATTATCCTGTTAAATATTATTTATTTTTACTTTTAAAAACACTTATTTCTCAAAAGACATAATATATCAATTAACTTTCAAATAATTTTTTAAAAATCGTATTCTAGTTATAAAAAATGTAAAATTGGAATGAACACTTTTATTTATCAAGGGGGAAAAACAAGAGTTTAAAAGAAATAGTTATTAATTAAATTTATCATTAAAATATTCAACATAAATACATGCTGCAAAAGTTGCTTATCTATTGCAAAACAATAATAATACATAACATGTTTAAATAAGCAATAACATTTTTATTCAGAGTTGGGGGAGGCAAAAATTACCTTCAGCCTACTGAAGGCCATTTGGGAAATTAATTAGCCTATGGGAGATCGCAACTTCATATACAAGATGCAGGACGATTTGTTGAGCTTTTTTTGGACATAAGTTGTGTTTTATATGCCATAAAATGCAGTAATCCAATATTTGTCTTTATTATTATCAAAATAGTGTAAAAATGAAACAAGAAAAAATATCTAGCTTATAAGAGATTAGTTATTGAACCTACAATTTTTAAAACTGTTTTCGTCCCGTAAACATTTGAAATACTCCAAATCACTCTTAAAAGATCATATTTAAAAGCATCTCTTGTTCTTAAAAACGCACATTTCTATCCACTCGGAGAATCTCCATTGTTCTGCCATACTCAAGTAACTCAACAAAAAAGACGGCAAAGGCGTCAGCTTATCGTTTGGGAATTCAGATTCGAATTCGGATCAGAAACATTTAGAAATTTTTCAGGGGTGTTCTGTCTCATATATTTCGATCCTCGTCTCTCACAACCGTCCTGGAGCCATTGTAAACCTGTTAAAAAGACTTTTAGTGACCAGTGGGAGAAAAGAGTAAATACTTACTTCTATATTTTATCTCATATAATATGTAATAAAAATATTAAAAATGTACTTGTCTTTTATTGTGTAATATAACAGAAGAAAATTAGTGTGATTTCTCAATACTTCATGCTATTGTAATCAGTTATAAGCGGTTATAAAATAGGCCTGTACAGTTAAACACTTGACTTCATGTGTTTTTGCACTAAGTATCACAAGAAATGTTTATTTATATGATTTATTCTCAGATATATTTGATTATAATTGTTTTTTATATTCAGAAATTATCAATATCTTACACATTAGATTAAATTATTGAAATTTTAAACAAGGTCGTTAATAAGATAAATGGCAGTTATGATAACTTATTTAATAAATTATCTCGTTACAATTATTTAGTAGGGATATAAATTACCTAGAGATTAGGTTACTTTTTATTCTTAATATTAATTATTATAATTTATCTATCGAATTATTATTTAAAAATTACTTACAGTACATTGGATAAATTTGTATATAAGAAAAACAACAGAAAATATTAATGTATTTCCTCTAAAAATAAATAACACATAGGAAACAGATAAATGTTTCCGGAAGAAACTCTAATATTTAACATGATACATCCTCAATAAGATTATTACAACAAAGTTGAATAATATTTAACTTCTTTGAATTGTAGAGAATATTCTGTAAATTCACTATTAAAAAGAAGAAAAACTTCAGAAGAAAATATATATTTTTTTTCTTCTGAAGTTTTTCTTCTTTAAAGTTAAAATTTAAAAGAAAGAGTAAAAATTAAATATGT